GTAGCTGCAGAAGTGTTGCGTATGCTGTACCAAAGGCTTCCCAACTTAACAGTTTTACTCAAGTAGCATTGAGTGTTAATGAGATCGCTGGAAAACATTGCGTTTTAGCGAAGAAGATAAACTTTGGTTTATTATACAGCAAAAAAATTAACATAAATGATTATTTTTCAATTCCTTATCAGATTTATGGGGAAATTGCAGTACAGAAAAGATGGGAAAGACACTTTTTAAATATCCACAGAACATATTTTTTGCATTGTCTTCTCTTTGAGCTTTTTGTGATAATTTCCTCCTGTTCTCTGCGGATGACCTCGATTGGTTTAAAATTTCTTCCTTACTCTTCAACCAAAAAATCCCGCAAAAGCACCAATGCGAATGAAAAATGCTAGAAAACTAATAAAATAATTGTTTAAAAGTTGAGCATTATTTGCCCTTCTAATTTTTTGCGCATAGGAAAGCCGACTAATCTCTTGTAATCTGGGATTTTAGCTGCAGATTGTCACTTATACAAGAGTGTAATTGTTGCAGCGTTCACTAGAGCTTTGAGATTTATTTGGTGTCTTAAACAGAAAACAGTTATCGAGTCTGAACACTTTAGTGATTACAGCCCCACAATTAACTTGTTTTAATTTGTTAAGTATAAGCTTTTTGATTCCAAGCTATATTTTAACAAACTCTTGTGCTACAAATATGTAGAGATAGGTGAAGTCTTATTACCAATTTCAACTTCCTTATAAATTTAAAATAATTTTCTGCAAAAAGCTAACAGATTTACTGTTTAATGCTTTAAGAGAGGCACCTTCAGGATCTGCTAATAAACTATAAATATTTTTGTGCTATACCGATTTTGGTTACAAGTGCTTTGTATTGGCGTCGTTAAAGACAAAAGGTTTTAAAGCTTTTGTATCAAACTATTATTCCTTACCAGTTGGTCTATCGTTTCGTTATTCACCGCAGAATTCCTTGAGCACTTGCTAGTATTCTGAAAAAAATTAAATTTCTTGTTAATTTACTAGGCAAGAACAGGTACAAAGTATTTTTGTGCTATACCGATTTTGATTACAAGTGCTTTGTATTGGCGTCGTTAGAGACAAAAGGTTTTAAAGCTTTTGTATCAAACTATTATTCCTTACCAGTTGGTCCATCGTTTCGTTATTCACCGCAGAATTCCTTGGGTAGTCGCTAGTATTCTGTAAAAAACTAAATTTCTTGTCAGCTTACTAGGCAAAAACAGGTAAAAAATTCATCCTACACTTTATTCTTTTTTCTTCACAGTAAAACCTTTTGAGAAAACAAAAAAATTTTATCGATGAATTTAATTTTGGCAACTTAAAAGTGGGCTGTAAACAATTAAAAGGCTCATTTCACTTATTTCTGAAAGATAAAAACCTTTTCAAATGAGACGAAAACTACTGCTGAGTTGGTGGGGAAGTTTCATCTTTTTCCGTTTAACTTTTTTCGTTTAACTTACTTTGATTTTAAAATCCCTTCTTACTTACATAAGCGTCCTGTGAATTTGCAAACGGCACCAACAGAGTAAGCAGTATAAATTTAGCTGTTTGCTTTGTGCTGGTCATCATCATTTTAACCGTTCGAACTGTCTTCTGATTGTTCGCGTACTTTTTGCCGCTCGTTGATGACCTGAAAATACAAATAAAACATAACCACAGAGCAGATTCATTTTCCAAAGTAGTTTCACACATAATAAGTCTACGTGCAAAGTTTTTCAGCTTTTGCAGTAAGGCATAGCTTGTGCTACTGCTTAAAACATAAATTACTCTAGGAAAAGTCATCTTATCAAGTTTAGCAGTAGTCGAATAATTTGAAGATTGCAGTTCAAATGCTCGTGAACTCAGGCCGAGATTGAAATACTTACGAGAATAGGGTAAGTAAAGAATGAATACAGCTTAAAGAGAAGTGCTTTCCAATTTGCCATTCATTTGGAGGGAACAACTAGGAATGTGAATTGCATCAGTGAAATCAGAACGTGCTCTGTTCAGATAATCATTTCAAAGTTAGCCATTTAGGTGGAGTTTGACCACTAGTAAAGTAAAATTTAGATTTCTTTTCTTTCTTTGCAGAACAAAGTCAGTACGGCGAACATTTTAGAGGAACGAACATTGCAACAATGTTTTTATTTTTTCGTGACTATTTGTGTGTTTTTGATCAGTAGTCGTCAAGACAATGTCTAATTTAAAAAAATTTCTTAATTGACTTTTTTGTCTTGAGGTTTCAGTCGCAAAACCTAGTTTTTGCTGAATTTAATAAAAGTAGTCAGTGATTCTTGAAGTGCATTAATCTACGAGAAATTCATATAAGACTTTTGCAAAAGCAGTTTTATTTTAGTACTAAAAAGCTGCCTCTTTTAAACCACTCTGCTGCATTGCCAAACAAGTCCTTCAAAGGCTTCCGAAGCCTGCCTTTTTTTACCTATTTTTTATGTGCCGTATTTGATTAAAATTTTCTGACGAAAATGACCTTGTTGCTTTTACCATTATGGTTGTTTTCTTTGGCCTCATATCAAAAATTTAGAAATAAATAAACGGTTAATTCTACTGCAGCAATAGTTTGTTTGCGGAGGCTACAGTTACTGAAGAACAATTCTGTTAATTCCTCGCTTAAAACTGGATGGAAGAATATTCGTAGTATATAAATTGGAGTGTAGACATGTTCAACACAACAATGTTCCTGATTATTTTTCAAATAGGTGGAAAGAAAAGCTGTTTTTCTTTTACTGCGTGAAACAGTTTCTTTTGCACCTCCACGTTCGTTGATCCTACAGCAAAAAAATTGAACTGATGCCTTTGAATCGCGAAAGTGGATTATAAAGTGTCAATGTTTCTGGTATTTTGCTTTTTTTCTTATCATATTATTTCCGGTCATTCAATGCCAATTTGTAGTTTTAATATTTCGTGCCTTCAGAGAACTTATTTTTTGTAAAATAATACAAATTAGTAATAAAACTCCGCAAACAATTGTGAAAAGTGGAGAGAATACAAGAAATCCAGTAACCTCAAATCAGAAATTTTAATCTTTTCATGACATTTTGTTGTGACTACAAAAAAATCTCAGTGTTCAGTAGACAATAAAAATGACTATCGCTCATAGTTTTTTTTTTTAAACTGTCCAATTTATCTTTTACGTTCCACGAAATCTCGCACGCACAGTATTCTTCACCAAATACAATATATTGCGCTATAAATGCATCAAGCACCAGATTTAAAGCTATAGATTTTATGCGGCTACTGTAATCTAAATGCTTGAAGATAATTTGAAAATAATACTGAATGGAACAACTGACGAGTTTTTGAACAAAAGTTTCATGAATTCCCTTGCCTCATGAAATCTTCAGTTGAGCTGTGGTTTTTCATGTTGCTCACAACGTTGTACAACTGCGTTTCTGCACCGTCTTATGGTTTCTGAAATACCACAGTGGATTACTTCCAAACCAGTCCTACCCGCATGTCCCAAATTTATCAGACTACTGAAAGAACTGTAATAACATATAAATTGGAATCATCCAGCGCTTTTTGGAAAGGCAAATTCTGCTCACGGCAAAACGGTCAGCAGCTTTACTGGCATGTCGCCCGTTGCAGATTTTGTTCGCTACGAGAACCACACTGAGACTTATATATATAGTAGTGGGGTCGGGTATACCGGACTCAGATGCTGATTTGATTCCTTATTGTTCCAAAGGTGGCGGGGTTTCATTTTTTTCAAATGTCCGAAGAACTTTTTACTACACGGTCACCTATCAGTTTTCTGGTATGAGCGTTACATGACTTCTTAAATTTGAAGCGAAGAAGTGAAGACTTATTGGTATGGGAAAAAACATTTTTGTGCAACTGCTTGAATTATTGAATTATTTTGTATTTTTATGAATTCAGTAACGTGCTGGTGGAGGTAGTGTCGTATTAAAATGAGGATAAAAGATGAAACTTAGTCCATAACTTTAGTAGCAGAGAAGTTTATTCTTGTTTCTCCGAAAACTAATGCACATATTTATCTTTTTAATTTCAAAACCCGAAGTTGCTTGCGACACGGGTTTTATAGTGTTGGATGGTTCAGCTGTTATCCTCATTTTTTACCAAACGAGAGGAGGACGTGAAAGAATTGTCAAACTGAATTTCAAAGCTTAGTTATTATCACTTCTTCTATTGATCGATCAGACACTGTTAGATTAGCGACTAAAATGATCTTTGCAATTTGACCAACGTACAGAGTTTTGTACTCCCTTCGTTTAATTTCGCCAGTTCAAGCAAACTTATGCTGTACTGCAGATATACTTCACAAACTTCTAAGCATTGATGAATCCAGCGACGAAGGTGCCGAAACAGTCTGTCTCAGCTGCCTTACTCGAGAAGAAAAAACGTTTACGTGAACGTGAAAAAAGTCAGTTTTCACCTTGCTATTACCAAACTCTTTTTCCGCCCAATATTTTATTTGTTCTGCTGAGTGAATACCTTTTGTGGAGCTTTGAAATATGTCTTTCTGTGCTCTCTTACGCTTTTCAAGTCTTCTTCAATAGTATTTATTTAAAGCCCTTTCGCTGATCTGCTGGCTAACTTTAAAAAACCTTTTTCTTAGAGCTTAGGAACTTTTTCAGACCCGACGACGGGAGGTTGGAGTGTTTTTTGGAGAGTGATAAAATAAAGTATTTGTTTTTTTCCTGAAGTATTAGCAGCAGTTTGTTTCTTGTTTATCCTCCAAATTTTAGAGCTTTTTTGAGATCACTTGGACGGTTGGTTTTTAGAAAAAAAAGGTAATTTTTTAAGTCTTTTTTTAAAAACGTTTGCTTCTTCAGCCGTAATTCTTGGTTGTCTTCCGATATACTGGTTTTATAGTGCAATAAAATTTGAAAAATGAACAATATTTTCTGAAAATGTTGAATTACCAAGTCGTACATCCGACAGATTTCTTTCGCGACAGGTTTTGTAAGAGCAGTTGAATTTGTGATACATTGTTCAAATAAGTTTTTTTCGAAGAAACTGTTGAAAGGAATGATGAGTGTCGTTAAGGGGTTACTAGAAGCATGTTGGTAAGTTGCTGATGATGTATATTGCACTTGTCACAGAGTTCTCAATCTTCTTAAAGCCGCTGGAAAACATCTTTGCTTAAAGCGTGTTTCAAGAGTTATCTGATGCTTCCTGGTTTCTTTCGTTAATTCCTTTTACAGACCTGTAAAATTTTTACTGTGAACGGTGCCCGAACAGAAAAGTTGTGTGTTAAGATGTTTATGCTTTTGCATTTGAAAACTTAGTATGGTATTAATTTTTTTGCCGTTAATTTGTTGGGTAAGGAGGTGGCTTTTAAGAAATGTCACAACTACTGAGTTTGATTTTTTTGAACTGGGCTAGGCTGGGCTTTAAGTACTAATGAGTGTTATTTATTGTGTATAAGAGAGCATTTCTTGCTTTATTTTTTGGACTGGTTGAAGTATTACAGCCACTTTCACCTCATTGCAGACGGAGCATGTAAAAAATATCCACCTGATGCAAAAGCACGTTTCGGAAGAGCTTTTCAATCTAAATTGAGCGTTTTATTACTCAGCGAGAACCAGATCTCGGGAGCCCAACTACAAGCCATGTATGATGAGGTTGTTCTTGGAGCGAATTATTCTTTTCGATTCATTTTTTCTGTATATAATCAAAAAAGTTTTAGTTTTTGAGCAGTCACTTTTAGTTCAGTGACCTCCGAACTCTAGGTATTAAATTACTACAATGAGCACAATCTGAACGAAATGTGGCTTTCTGATGAGAATGATGATAACGAAGTTAAACCACCAGTTATTAAAAAAATGCATACAGACGGTAAAGATATAAAAAGCAAGTCATTTCTTAAAATCTTTTTTAATTTCTTTATTTGACTGAGAATAATTTCCAAACTTAATGCCACCATAAAATTTTGTAAATTTATTTACTTCATTGATTCTTATTGTAACTTTAAAAGGAGTCTTTGTTAACCGGGGCCTAGATTTGTTTTTGGCTTGCTTTTAACCACCGGGTATTTCAGTTGGACTCTCGCGTTTTAAGGGCACTAATGACGAGAAGGAAAAACAAAAGCCAGCAGTAAGTTTTACTGTGTTATTAGTTTAAGCGTTGAAATCCTTCTTTTTTTTTCACGTTAGCCTTCGTTGGCGACTGGCTGACAATTTGCAAATATTTTTTTTTTATCCTCAGCATCAAGATATTTTTCATTTTTAATTAGTTGACTACGAGTTCTCCAACTGCCAGTGCTACCACTACTGTGCCATTCTCAAACCTAGAACTAAGCGATGATTCAGAGGATGACCCGGGTCCGAAACCCCTGTCGTCTGTTCAAAAAAATGTTAAGGTACAGGTTTAATTAGTTTTTTTCCTAACAAAGACCGTTCCAATTTCTTTTATAATTATAACCTTGGCGGATCATGTTTAGCGGTCTGCTTATAAAGTTATCGGAGTTTTCAGCTGTGCAGTGTCTGTGGTGAGTCGAGCAGCGGTGATGGAAACGCCAATCTACTCCTTGACTGCGATGAATGCAAGAATTCTGTGCATATTAAATGCAATAAATCGGAGGTAACGATGCAGCAGGCTTTAGACTCTCGTTTCGTATTCGTCTGTTCTGGTTGCAAGGATCGCGAAAGCAAAGTATAAAGCAGAAATCTTTTCTCCTTTCCATCTTAACCTCAGAAATTTGGCATTTTCGGAAGAAGCATCTTTTTTGAATTAAACTATTTGGTGCTATTTTTAGATCGACAGGTTCAGTTCTAATGAAAGTGTTGGCTTAGGAAAAGCTACAGCTGGAAAAAGGGTAAGATATTTGAAAAGCCCTGACTTTTTTGTAGAGGGCTTGTAAAAATTGTAATTACAAACGTTTTATCTTTTTCTTGCTTTTTAACTGCTTCTAACCAAGGTCTTGAATATTGCCCTATTCAGGAAGAGAAAATAACGGCGCAAAAGCTAGATCTCTCCGCCGCGTTTGCGACTTTCGCCGCAAAGAAAAGTAAATATATTTGTTTGGCATATTTTCCTTAGTAAAATCTAGAGGAAGAGGCCTAAAGGCAACTCACATTGATCTGGTTTTGGTCTAAACTCTTATACCGTTTTTCGTGACAAAATTAGTTTTTCAGCTTTTGCCTGACTGGTTTCTTTCGTAACGATTCTGATAAATATTGCATATTTCGTTTCAGTCAGATAGGATAATTTCTATATTCCAGTAATTTTAAATATTTACTCATAGTTTGTTGCAGAAAAAATAGTTGGCCCTCCAGGTTTTATTCCCCTTTCTTCCTCTAGTGGAATTTCAAGAACAGGTGGAAGTTTAAGTGGCTCTTCGGCGAAGTCTTTTCCGTCTTTTTTGAAAAAATAATTTATTATCTACTGTGCTATTTCTCTACAATTTTTGATTGCCAACACTGATACTCATAAATTTCACGATATTTTTACACTAAGATCTTGTAAAAACTGTAAAACTGTTTGATATAGCTACAAGTTGCCAAAAATCTTCTTTAATAAGGGTTATTTTGTCCGTTAAAATTTCTTTATATGGCGCTAATTCCACAGGAACTTTTAAGTGACACCAATGTAAGAGATGAAGCAGGGGGGGAGGGGGTTTGGTTTTCTTTGAAGAAAGCCAAGAAAAAAGAAAAGGTTTCTTCTTTTAGGAGAGACAGGGGAGGTGAAAACGGGCGACGAGCAACCCTATTATTTTTCGTCCATAACATGACGCATTAGATAGATGGCGCTCTTATGACATCCCATTAATGTGACATTTTTCCATTAAAGCTCAGGAAAGACAGGAAATTAAGACTTTAAACTGCTAAAATAAGTAAATAATGTGGGTTTTAAGGAGGATATTAGGATAACAGTGGGGAAAGGGAAGTTTTGCTGTTCACGCGTAACTGCAGTGATGCTATAGTTTTCTTTTTTCACGCAGTGAGTGAGAATATAGTCAAAGGCTAATGGGGCTTTGGGGATGAGTTATGTGTGAGGATGAATTTAGAAATCTTAGATTTTAGAAGGAGATTTTAGTTTATTGAGCTTTTTGCGATAAGTGTAGTCAACAAATTTTGCTGTATGAACGTTCCGTTCCTCGGTACGCTATAAGGAGTGATGGGTTAGTTAAAAACAAGAAACTCTGGTGTATTCACTTTTTCACCTCTTCACATTATATGTTGTTTTTGGCGAAAGAAATGATGTATTATAGAGTGAAATAGTGCAAATAAAAGGAATTCTACCTTTTACTCTCTCTTCATACCATTTCACCTTCTGCTGGTTCCTATTTTTGGACTTGGGGACTTTTTTTGAAATGTTCCTCGGCTCGTTTGTGGATATGGAGTAGGAAAATGGTGAAAGACCCTGAGCTCTTGCAAGTTAACAAAACCCCATAAGTATGAGACGCTTCCATCGGAGGTAAGCGGCGTATCGTGCCGCCAAGTTAAATGCTGCCGAAGGGATTTTTTAAATTAATGACTAATGGCAATGCTGAGTAGACGATGAGAGGCTGGTGTGGAAGCCGGTGGAAGTGGTGCTAGACGTGGGTATTTGCTCTTCTTAAATTTATAGCTGTAATAATAACGTTTAGTTTAATTTTGAGGAGGTTTAAGAAGTGCTTTCATGGCTGCAGTTAGTTGCTTTCTTTGTTTATCCTATACAGCACAGAAGTGTTCAGTCCGTGGTAGGTTGATAATTTTGTTGATGCCCCCAGTGAAATGAGTAGCTTTTTTTAAATTAGTACGAAATAAAATTTGTAGAGAACGTAATCTATGTTGCTTGGAAACAGGCTATCCAGATATGTAGAAGAATTGAAGACGCATCAGAATAAAGGTTATTTTTGTTGTTACTGTGTGTATGTGAAACTTCTCGTTTCTTTAGATATCCTATCACGTTTTTGCAAAGTTG